AAAAATTCAGCATCTTTACAGCCGCCCTTACGCATGTTCTACCCTCTGTGTTACCTATCCTCATCGTGTATCCACGTTTCACGTGCACAACGCGCGACAATAACATCCCCTAAAAATCGCGCTCCTTACCGCGTCCCTCCTCGAAGCAGTCAACGATGTCCTTCGCGTAGCTAAGTGTGCACTCCTCGGTGCCGTCCACGGGCTTACCGCGGCACCAGTGCAGGCAGCGGCTGGGCACGATTTTGTCCGCGCAGCAGCGGCGATGGTCAGAGCCATCTATCGGATAAATGTATAGACGCTAGTCATTTGTCGCCGACGCCGACGTTGACATGGTCGGCCTCGATGGTGAGAGAAGTCCGAAACAAAACGTACGGCTAACGATGTCAGGAGCGTCGGCACGGGGGATCGTTGTTGTTGTTGATTGGAGTTTTAGGGCGCCGATCTTATTATTAATGTTATTATCTTATCCAAATTAGGGGATCGTTGACGTGGCCAACACCGGCAACACTACAACAATCGACGGCATCGTCAGTGGCAGCATCTGTCAAGATTGCCAGCAGACAGAACCACAGAGCCAACAGAGCAGTGCAATCGCGGTACGAACCGAGCGCGAACTGGATGAATTCACCATAATCTGGTGTGGATTAAGTTAAAACCGAAGGTGATACAGCGTCGCACATCGTTACCGACGTTGATCATCGGGTGTCTCAGCTAGAGCTCACCCGGCGTGTTCACTTGGCGTGACCAAAAATGACCCAAGTGCACCCGAGGTGATCATACGGCAAACCACTGTGATCACTTCGACTCACATGCATTAGGTTGATTTAACGTGACCCAGGTTGACATTACGTGACTCGGACATACCTAAAGGGACTTCTGATGTATGCAAGAAATGTCTTAAGCTTCCGATTTTTGGTACCACGAATTTAGAGTTCTAACGATGACATTAGTCGTGCTTCAAGATACTTAGCAAGTATTGGTAAAGTAACATGATCACGCAAGCATTGGCTCTGTCGTTGGTTATATTAACAATAAAGCCCATACTTGCTTCATAACGTCGCTTTAACCAGTACCTTCTAGCAAAGAAAACGTCAATGTTGTCAGTACAAGAACTATAAGCTCTTAACGCTGACCCACCCCACCTGATCTCTCACACTGCCCCAACTGATTTCTCATCCCGCCCCACCGATCTTTCATCCCTCCCCATCCGATCTGTCATCGAGCCCCACGCGATCTCTCATCTCGCCCCGTCCGATCTTTCATCCCAACATACCAGCAGCGCAGGTCATGAGCTTGCCCAGCTCCGCTGCGCACTCTGGGACGGCCAGCACGGCGTCCAGGTCGACGTCAAACGCGCATGCGCGCTGACACGGCCTGCTGACGTTGAGCCGTCGGCAGCACTCGGTCACGCCCAGGTCGTACAGCCGCGGCGCCTCCTGCGGCCAGCGGCAGCCAGGTCAGAGGAGGTCACGCTGGGGTCATTACAGACGACAGCCGGATCAGGGCAGGTCACACCGATGTCATGCGAGGCTTTTGGTTTGAGTCTGGAGTCGGGGACGGTCGTGATTTCTCTGGTATTGCGCTCGAATAATTATTTACTTGAGCTATAGCATGTCAGAGCTATCATCCCTTCTTCCCTTCTTTGCACTCGCAGTCTAGAGCATTATTAGCGAAATCCAAAAGCGGTCTGCACACAACGAACTAGCTATATATGCAGCCTCCCAGATCTCACACATGGTTTAAACGCAGTGTTGAGCTGCGCCGCCTGGGAAACCACAGGCATGGGGTTCGATTCCCTGCAGTACCCGCTCTCCCCGTCAGAAAGAGGGGAAAGCGACACCATGAAGCCTGAGAAGCTGAGTGCGTCGCAAGGCCCCAATGACGGCAGCCTGTTTTCACAGCCATCTATCGTCTTCTCAGTTCCACTCTTTTTCATCTTTACCTTGTGGCTCCCATTTCTCCACTCCGCCTTCCGATTTTTTCTATATGCCTTACATGTACCATGACCACCTTCCTATCTTCCTCTTCCCCCTCCTCACCACCTGCCTGTCTCAGTGCCTCCCATACTTGCTGCCATCCACCTTAACCCCTCCCCACCCACCTCCATCCCCACTCAACCCTTCCTCACCTGCTGTCTCTTGAGCGTCAACGTGTTTGGTCATGGAGGCCGAACACGTTCTCCGCGTGACAGAAGAACTGACCAAAGTTCTCCTCCGCCACCTCCCTGATCTTCAGCTCCATGGTGTACTCTCCTTCCTGGGAACAGCAGAGTCAGTCACATCACCGGTGGCTGAGTCGTCAGTCAGCGCTTAGAGCGCAGAGTCATGGGCAGGGTCCGCAAGGGAGGGGTTGGGGGGGGGGGGGGGCGCTGAGCAGTGAAAATGACGGAACCTTTCCCTAAAATGCGCAAACAAATGGGTTTCTCTCCCTATCTGGACCCCCCTCCCAATGAATATAAAACTACAGCCCTGCCGCAAGTCATGGTCTTTAATTCAATCCAACACTCCAGGAATATGGTCTCACGGTTTTTAGGTCACAATTCCTAGGTCTATCACTGGACTTACACTTGAGTCTATTGAAACGGTTTATCTTAAGGTCATCACATATTCTCGACTATTCCAAAACTGTACGAGGACTCGTGGTAACACTCTGCATCATCCCCATCTCCTCCACTTTCTAAAACGTTAAGTTACAGCAAGTCATTTGCCGCCTTTGCCAGATCATTCCGAATTGTGTTAAGGACGTGCGTCGTCACGCCCCATGTTCCGAGGCTCAGGTGACTACATTAGCCTCATCAGCGCTCGGAGGCCATGGCGCGACCGAGATTCGAACCCGGGTACCCCACGTGAAAGCCTTAGGTGCTAGCCGCCCGGGCATTACCTCCCCATACCATTCCAGTTCTGCAGTGGATTCGCACGTCGTGCGTACAAGACATACCCTCCGTCCCTGCCGTACTCCTCCCACCCCCCCCCCCCCCCCCTCTCCACACTCCGGCCTGATTCCGCACTTCGGTCGTAGTGACCACAATCGGCTGGCTCAAAGGCACGCAACCAGAAGTTTTCTCAGGGAGGAGCCAATTGCCAAATTTTTCGTATTTAAACAGATATCTTACACAGTTGACCAATCTAGTGGAAAGCGTTTGTCTTCGTGAGAGGTCACGCCCCCCCCCCCGCCGGCCCTCCTGGTGGCACCCAACTTGGCTACCTACCTGCTGTTTGTTAGCTCTCTGAGCTCAAGTCTCCAGAGCTCCCCATTGAACCATGTATGTCTGGTGTCTGTCGTTTCCTTTCTGTTCCTGTGCTCTCTTTCCATGAAATTTTCCAACTTGTCGGCATAATTCTTTAAATTCCCCTCGTTCGTGTAAATGTATTTTTGCACTCAAAGAAAGCGAGCTGGTTTTTTTCACGCGAGCTGGTTTTTCACGTATATATATATATATATATATATATATATATATATATATATATATATATATACTTAACATCCATTTCCAAAGGACTTATGCCACACGCATGATTACGTTTGAGCTTCCAGCTAAGCATGAGCGTCGTCGCCACACAAGGAGCACGCAGGCCTCATTCAGCGCCGATATGTTTGGGGCAATACCAAAGCAAATGTATTATGCATCCGCTGTGCATCAGGGGAAAGCGCCATTGATCTTATTCCAACGCTTGATCTGCTCAAGTCAGATTCAGAATGGTATCCGTTTAACCTTAAACAACAGCCAGCAACAACGGACTCAGCTTTCAGGGACTATCCCGATGAATGTTTCAACAATGATTTTAAGGCTGCTGGATCGCTTTTATTAAATAGCAGCGGACAAACTAACTCTTAAATGACTTCCAATGGCCCGAAGAGGAGGTCCAGAAAGCTCCATATCTGCATACACAGATTTGGAAACTTTTGTTTGACATTTCTGCTGGCCTGCTCTGATTGCAAAGTTTTTATTAGGCAACTTTGCCGGTAGATCCCAATGTAGGACTCTTAGCCTCACTCAACATACAATCGCACCCGAAACTTTACCTTCCGAGCAACGGATCCGACGCGAAAAATGCAGGACGTGAGATCCCACAGCCCATTTAGTAGACCTCGGGGCGTTCTGAAAACCTCCCGACATTGCAACAGTTGCTCAATGACAGTCATGCGTCTCAACTAAACCCTATCGGCATGATTCGGTTTGGAAGATCACCCAAGGCCTGCCATGACCTTAGGTTTTGACCTGGCCGGACCAAATACCGACTGATCCTAGCCTGCAGTTCCAGCATAATCCACAATCCTCACCTGACCTGACCTTGACATGGTGAGTCAGGTGTCAAATGTCATTGATATGTCATGTCAGGTCATCCTCACATGGCCAATTTCACTCCTGTTATAACATTTTCACAGGCCTAACCTGACTTCAAATCTCGACCTGGCGGCTGGCCGGGCCTGTGTGCAGTCCTGACCTGACCCACGACCTTGAACTAGATCCACGGCGGTGGACTAGACCCACTACTTTGACTAGACCAACGACCTTTGACTAGGCCTACATCCTTGGACTAGACTCACAACCTTGGAATAGACTCACGACCATGGACTAGACGCTTGAATTTGTCCTGACCCATGACATTAATCTGAACCTAGTTCCATAAACGAAAATAAAAAACTACGCATTTCTTACTTCTGTCGCGTGGACTCATCCATCAAAAGCCGCGGTCATCATGCCAACGCATTATGCCCATCAATGACTTAAGAATCGAGAGATCAGGAAAGGACGGCTGCCACCGGGCCTGACCCCGGCCCTGACCTTGCGGCCGCGCTGTGTGATGACCTCGAAGTTGCCTCCGTCGATGACCACCTCTCGTTTGGCGGCGGGTTGGCGCCAAAACACCATCTGGGGCTCGGGGCTGGCGTCCACTCTACAGCGGAGGGTCACCGAGCTGCCCTCCGGTGCCGTGAACTCGGGCCGCGAGGTCACGATCGGACGGCCTGAGGTCAAGGGTACAGGGGTCATTGTTATGAACTCAAAGCACGCGGTCACGATCGGACGACCCGGGATCACAGGGGCAGGGGTCACTATGGTGGACTAAAAAACACGAAGCCATGATCGGATTACTTCAAGTTACGAGGACAGGGGTCATCGTTGTTGACTCACAGCCAGGTCACCATCAGATGACCTGAGATTACGGGAAATGGGTCAATGGAACGGGCTAGACACCTGGGATTTTCAACAAGAGGTGACGATCTGAGGACCTGAGGTCAAAATGCAGAGGTCACTGTGACGGCCAAGTGTCACAAACAAAAGGAGATGACGATCACATGTACCCAGGTCTTCGTGATGATCTCATCGTCGTGAAAACAAAGGAGGCCACGATCGGACGAATCGAGGTCACGGGACAGGGGTCACCGACGCAGTCTACAAAGCTGTGACCACAGGCTGGGAGGACATGATGGAACGACTTAAGGCCACAGTGGTTGGGTCACTGGTGGTGAGGATTAGAGTCCCAGTTGGGGTTACTAAGGCGATGGGCCATCGAGTACACTACGGCAGCGGCACCATACCGCCAAAACGCGACGGAACAGTGTCACTCCCTCACAAAAATTACCGGATGACGTCACTGGCATTATTCAAACTGCAGTAGAAAAGCCTATGAATTGGCAAGCGCCGTACGATCAAGATCGACAGAAATAGGAAGTAAGTCGTAACATAAAAGAACTACCAGAGTAATAACGTAACTGTCTTAAATAACGTCTCGACCTCACCAGCAATGATCATGTAGCATCAATGCAACAGGAATTCTGTCAGGAATCCCAACATGCATTTAGGACCCATATCATAGAAATGACATCATCTGAACAGATCCGACCATCTGACCACCCGCACAGCCACTTAAACACACACACACACACACACACACGTCATAATGACATCACTTACGGCTGATGACGATATGCCGGGTTGACTGCATGGGCGTGCCATACCCGTTGTCGGCGTAGCACGTAACCTGGGTCATGTCACGGCTCACGTTCCGAATCGACGTCACCAGGTGGCGGGTGCGCTCCTGACCAATCAGAACATGCGACGTCACAGCATGCATAGACCCCGGACAGGTATGACGAGTATCCTACTGAACCCGGCAGTATGTCACCGCAGTGCTTACGGGCTCGTAAACAAACTGGTCATTGAGACAAAAGGGGAAGCTTTACGCTGTCCGAAAGGGTCCGGCGACGGCTCATGTTAGCGCACACGGCGTCTCACGTGAGGTTTTTGTACATGCTTATGACCGACCACCAATGAAACTCAAAGTACAACTACTTGCTCTTAGAAGCCAGTAAATACCGTCAAGGACCCATTCTTTTAACGCGAGCTTCGTTGCATCGCGTGGAACAAACGGCCCAAAAATTGTCTCGGGGCAGGTCCAAACCGCCACTCTTACCTCATGCACATGTCGTCCGTTAATGTACAGCGCCACCGTCGGCTCCGGCGAGGCCATGGCGATGCAGAGGACGGTCATGCTGCCGCCCTCCTTCACCATGTCCGTCGGGTGGATGGTCGGCAGCTGTCGACAGGCGGCGTATGTGCGGTACGATATGCTGTACGCGGTGTTCGCTCACAGTTGGGGAGCAGCAGATGTGGGTACCAGCAGACTACAGTACCAGCAGAGCAGTACCAGCTGGTTGTCAAGGGCGCTGTATGATCGCGTAGTCGATGCGCCCTAAAGCCCAAATGACCGTGCGCCCTGCCGGTTATGTACCACCAGACGAGGAGTTCACATCGGAGCCTCGAAAACAAGCCGAAATGTACAACAAGCCTTCGACCAAAAGCCACCCATGGGAGGTAGGTTTTTGTCTTTCCTTGACTTAGGTTAGTGAGTCCACCCTGAAAAAAACATAGAACAAACCGCCACAAACACAAACTTAATGTGAAAAACACACATTATACAAACACATATGCATAATGTACAAACCGGTGCCGTCAGCCTTGACATCACCGCCCTGTCAAGCGCATCTTCAACGCTAGCATACCTGTGACTGTGGTCTATCTGGCAAATGCCTTTAAAAAAAAAACGAAGTGCACAAATCACATGCAGGCTTTGAGAAACGAGAGGGCGAGACGAGTTTTCGGTGCGACGAGGCGAGGCGAGAGCAAGAGACCTGTCCAGTATCGGTTCGATGAACATCTTGGAGACGCGCGCTTAAGTAGACTTGCCACGCCCTAATGAGCATGCGTTGCAGTGGCATGCTACGCTCTAAATCTTAGCACTGCCTCTCGCATCGAGCCTCTTTCAGCAAACCGTGACTGAACCGAGACCAAAATTAGCCCTTGAATTCATATAAGAAATTCGAAACCAGCCTTAAACACGATGACTAGTTTCAGGCCGACACACATGGCCAACCTGGCTTGTCACCAACATAGCATAACCTTGTAAAACTGAGAGCCGGGCCACATCCATCCTTCCTTCCAACGTTCGGACTTGCTCCAGCGCTTATGGCACACCCACGCCATATTTTCGAGAGCTGCTTTCGAGAGACATGATCTCTCCCGAACAGTAGTTACGGGCAATGCTGAGGCAAGTGGCAATTTGTGCATGTTGGGAAATGTGTTTGGGGAAAAACACCTGTCAGTCGTACGTGGCTTGGAGCCGAAAGCTCGTGGTACATTTTGGTTTTTATTTTAAGATTGATATTTGGCATGCAATTGATCATGCGTCCCTATTACAGCGTCTACAACCATGCCAGATTTCCTGCGAAAAACTGAACAGAAGCTTCAAGCACTCAACTAAATGTGATTCGTAGTCCTAATTGGACGTGCCACAGCAAAACCTTTCATCATGAGGCAAATCATCCGGATAACTTTTCATTTAGCCGTAGAGGAAGGCATAATTGGTCTTAGCTGTACCCAGTTTCACGTCAGTACACTTGTTGTATTGCGCTTAATTCAATTTGGCGCGAAGTGGATCGACTTCATATGATTTGAGCTTGGGGTAGGGGAAACGTTTTCCATCCGTGGAGGGGCATGTTGTTGAGTCTGGTACACAGACGATTGGTTACACCAAACGCCACTGAGGTCGACATGGTTCTCCATGGCTACAACAGGCAACAGCCATACGTGTCAGCCCAAGTTAGCTAGTAAAACCGGGGAGTAATTTGGCCAGCAGCTAAATTTCCTAATTTTGTCCCGTGCCGGTCGCAGACCTGGAACAAACGCGTCTTCTCATTGGCCCGCGGCCGCTACATTGACCAATAACAGGATGTTTTACAGCTGGATCGACCAATAAGAGAACATTTTACGGCCCGACCGACCAATGAAAGACATTTTACACCGTCCGCGCGCCGAAATGTCGCCTGATGCTGATCATACTGCACCGAAGCAGAAGTCGGAAGCGAACAACGTGTCGTCCCCGGTAGAGAATTGTAACCACACCGAAGCGTCCGCAGCAGAATTGCAGGAAGAGAGCGAAGGTCTAAATCCATATAACCACAACCTAATTCATCTAGCTCGCAATACAAGGAGCTGTATATAGCTAAACAAAACGTTCAAAAACCTAATGAATCCACTCCGCGCCCGTTGTTTCATTCTTTGCAAGCATCACTCACATCAGAAACCTGCAACTCATCACGCCACCTGTGATGAGTTATGGACAGCTGCTGCTTTCCATTGTCAGCGCTGTTGTTTTCTCCGCCGCCTCCGCTCTCTGACGGTCACCTGCGCCAGCCTCTGTAGCACTGCGCTCGGATGACTGTAGCACCACCGCCCTCGATTAAGCTCGACCGCGCCGGCCTCTGCAGCACTGCGCTAGGATGCTGTCGCACCACCGCTCTCTGTGAGGCTCGACCGCGCCGGCCTCTGTAGCGCTGCGCTCGGATGACTGCATCATAAAGCCTGGCTGGCCGCAGCTGCGGCTACGCCGAAGCTGGGGTCCCTCTCGCCGTCACACGCTTCGGCTGAGCGTTCTGCTGTCGGTCTCCTGCGCCCACCCCTCCGTTTCGTGGGGACGACCCACGAAACGGCATGGTATGTCACCGCAACATTGCTACCTGTCTGCATATTTTCCGTTCTCTTCTTAAAATACAAACTACAATTCAAAGCGGCACAACAATAAACACCAGTTCACGCGAGCAAACCAGTACGTCTCCATTATTTTCACTCTTGTTTGTTCTGTTTGCCATCCCCTCCCCTCCACCGTAACTCATTCACGCTATGTTCTTCTGCTTGCCTTGCCTTTCGTACCGTTGGGACGCTGGGCTGGCCAACGTGAAGCCATAAAGCGAGCAATCAGAAAACGACTCTCAGGCTCCGCCTAGTCACGCAACCGGCGGACGTGTTTACGCTCACCCAGCAGACTGGCTCACTTAACTGTTCCCAAGCCCGGCCGGAGAGCTCGTTCGTTTGGTTACTGCCACACTACACTACAAGCCTACCGCACAGAGGCGTCGGTAAATGGTTTGGCGGCTCTTGGCAAACTCAAACGACCACTCACAGGGGCGGAAGTTTCACGCAGCTGCAGAGAGCGCTGGGGCCAACACCGGGACCGAAACTATGTGGTCTCCACAACTTTCAGCGTCCTCCCAGAAACCGCTAGAATAACAGCCTCGGAGGAGGGGAAAGTTTTGTTGACGGCACGTGAGGGAAGCCGGTGAAGACGCCGACAGCCATCACCCGTGAAAGAAGCCGGTAGCGGCCACAGAAAACCACCACTCGGAAGCACAAAGCCGGGCAAGTGAAATTTGGTTTGGTCGGGTCAGAGTCTTTGGTTGGGTCAGGTCAAAGTGCTTTGGTTTGGTCAGGTCACAGTATTTTGGTTTGGCCAGGTCAGAGTACTTTGGTTTTTGGTCAGGTCAGAGAACTTCGGTTTGGTCGGATAAGAGCACTGTGGTTCGGTCAGGTCAGAGTGCTTTGGTTTGGTTCGGTCAAAGTACCTTGGTTTGGTCTGGTCAGAGTCTTTGGTTTGGTCAGGTCAGAGTCTTTGGTTTGGTCAGGTCAAAGCACTTTGGTTTGGCCGGGTCGGAGTACTTTGGTTGGTCAGGTCAAAGTACCTTGGTTTGGTCAGGTCAGAGTCTTCGGTTCGGTCGGGTCAGAGTCTTTGGTTTGGTCAGGTCAGAGCGCTTCGACTTGGTTAGGTCAGAGTCTTTAGTTTAGTCATGTCAAAGTCTTTGGTTCGGTCAGGTCAAAGTACTTTGGTTTGGTCAGGTCAGAGTCTTTGGTTTGGTCAGGTCAGAGTACTTTGGTTTGGTCAGGTTAGAGTCTTTGGTTTGGTCAGGTCAGAGTACTTTGGTTTGGTTAGGTTAGAGTACCATCTCCGCGGCCAAAATCTGAGGCTGGATTTACGGAGACGGAGAAGCTAAAAGAAGATGGCGATAATGCACCAACCCTGTGTTATCACAGACCCCCGGGGTTACCCTACACAGTGACGTCACCGATGATTGGCACGCTGACGTCACCGATGACCTGCGGAATCTGGGAACGCTACAGTCGTGACTTAAGGCAGTAGCATGCTTACGGCATGAATTGGAGCTGTGATGTCCGAAAAAAATGAATGTTGGTAAGGGGGTTGCATGACAAGGACAGCATCATGTCCGAAATTGTAATGTTTTTGCGCTAGGTCAGAAAGTCTGCATCTGGAATGAGAAAATCTTCACACAGACTTGGAATGATTTCCCTACGACTAAGGAAACCGCTCTTTGGACTGGCGGCGTCTCATTTGCAGAAGTGTCCAACTGAACTTAATAACGTATTATGCACACATCAGAAACACACGAAGTGCAGAAGCAGAACCATCACACGTAGCACGGGATAGCCTGTTGCTGACTGAACGCTCCAAAGACAACCTACAATCAAAACAACAACCGACAATCTACAATCGGCAATCTATATAACGGACGCCTCGTGCCTCGCGCGCTTCCACTGTCGAGATACCTGAGCCAGTCGCGTGCGCTGATTGCCACGTGCCTCCACACACGCGGGGTAAGCCTGTCTGGTCCACAGTTGAAATATCTGTGCCAGTCGCGTGCGCTGATTGCCACGTACCTCCACATACGCAGGGTAAGCCGGTCTGGTCCACAGCTGGAGTGTCTCGGAGGGCCGGCTTTCTCCCGTTCCACTCAGCGCCGTGATAAACACGCTGTGAGAGGCACAGAGCCGTCACATACCGTCACAAACATACCGTTACAAACATACCGTTACAAACATACCGTCACGGACATACCGTCACGGACATACCGTTACAAACATATCGTCACAAACATAGCGTCACGAGCATAGGTCACAAACATACCGTCACAAATATGGCGTCGCAAACATACTGTCGCGAACATACCGTCACAAACATAGTGCTACCAGCATACCGTCACACACATACCGTCACAAACATACCGTCGCGAACATACTGCTACAAACACAGATACGAGTAGAGGGATCCCTCTTGAGCCTGAATTTCTACTTTCTTTACCATAGATGGTTCCCAACAGAAAGTTGAAAATCGGCGTGGTGAGTACTCAGTGAGCATCGCGCCGCCGTATCACATACTCGGTGCGCCCCCCCCCCCCCCTCCCCTCCCCTACTTAAGACAGTTGTGGCTGCGTTCCCGGATAGGTGAAAGCACTAAATAACAAACCAAGCACAATTAACACAAATTCTAACAGACAGGGGCGCAGTCAGAAAAACACTCACTGCCGAACTGAAAGTGCAGTGTAACAGAACGCTCGCACTGTTACAAAGGGGTGAATACACAAACTTAAAAAGGTCACTGGAAGCGTGAACATAGAAAAACATGCCAGGCACTGGTCACTTCCAACCCAGACTGGTGGGTACGCTTTCAAGCGCAAACCATGTTAAAAACTGGTCGTCTACCTTAATCAAACATGAAAATCACACGTGCACTTCTGTACGGTTTTGGGGACAAAACGGTTTCAAACTGTATCCTTTATTAGCACATGATTCAGCGGATCCTCCGGGCTAAGATCGTTTAGAAGATTCTCCAAAAAAGTCACTCTCTTAACCACACAAACATAAACGTCATTACACAAAAGAATTTCAGCAAGCCCTCGATGCCTCGCGCAAACGATTTCATGGCGCAGTTTGACTCAGGACAGACAGCAACCATCAACTTCGAGCAGTAGCCTCCGATGCATCGCAGAACCAACCCGACTGGGGAGCGACCTTCGATACCACGGATAAATTAGCAGTTTCCAAGTTGCAAAGAACCAAATGAAGAGGAAGCGCACAAAAGCAGCATTGCGAGCAACGCCTCTCAACTGCGTAACTGCCCCCCCCCCCCCCCCCCTACGGTCTATAGATTATATTTTCTGTGCTGACTCTGGGTTATGCATGCGACCGTCGCCTGCCGTCGCCAACACACCGCGGCGACACGCATATTCACTCGGACACAGATGACTTGCAAGACAAAACGCATATTTTTAGCCGTGGTTGGTTCCGCCAGCACAGTGTACCCGGCAAATTTCACTCAAACTTCAGAACCTGGTGGAATCGACTTCTTTCACATGCAAAACTGAAGCAGCTGGTCGCGAAGTCGGATGCAGGAAGTCTAAAAAAGTGTTGGGAAGGGGGGAGGTATTGCTGCCGCCCGCAAGGCAGTGAGCAGCCTCTGCCGCTGCTGTGATGACGTACATGTACTGGGAGTTGGGCTGAAGCTCCTGCAGTCGGTGAGAGAGAGCGGCCGTTGTCACGTTGGTGAAGTCCGTGGCGTTCGGACCGCGGTACGAAATCCTGCGGCAAAGGTCACCGCAGAGGTCAAGGTCACCGCGGAGGTCAACGTCGCTGCAGGGTTCAAGGCCAAAAAGATTGGAACATGCCAATGCGGGAAAACGGCAGGTAACATGAACTGCAGCGTGAAATTTGGAGAAGGGAACAAATTCAAAAACAGGAAAAGGTAAATTCACGAACGTGGTGGGACACTCTCAGAAGCCCAGCAATTACGAGAAATGTTAAGTGAAAGCAGACTTGTTGTAAGTCAACAAAGAACTGTAACCTTAGCACGATGTGACTTAGCACTTAGCACTTGACACGATGTTCTACACTTTCGCGAAGCCAGCTATGCGATTCCAACACGAAAATGTTCGTCTTCGTACCACATCTGCCAGCGTCTCGCGTCAAGCAACACTCAGGACCATAAAATGAGCAATAAACACACAGTGGCATGCACGGAGGGCGGGGGGAGTTGGACGAGTACAGGTGAGGGGAAAGGTTGTCCAGACTAACAACTGGTGGTCCGTGGGAACAGGTCTGCCGTGATAAAAAAGCAAAACGCTTCTTTTTTATATCGTTGGCGTTGGCAATGCACGGCAGTTCTTGACCTCCCATACCAGCATCTGAACAGCCCGGTGGGGGGGGGGGGGGCAATGTTAGCGGGAATGAGCTAGAAACGCATGCTCAGCTACAGCGGTTGAGAACAATCACTGATTTATCATATATATATATATATATATATATATATATATATATATATATATCACGATATTGCTATGGCAACCTAGGCCCGCGCCGCCAGCCGTGGCATCGGCACCAGCTTTCCAAGGCAGAAGCTCCGCCGGATCCACCAATGAAAATTAGCATGTGGCGAATGCACCAATCGGAGCTCACTGGTAGCGGATGCACCAATCATGACTCACTTGTAGCGGATACGATCGGTCGGATGGGAGATGAGTGGCGGCGCCCAGCTGATGGTTAGCTCGGTCGCTGATAGGTCGGTTACGCTCAGACTGTGCGGGTGTGACGTCATCGCCTTCTGCATGACGTCATCTGTTGTCGGCAATGAAAAAAGAATGCAAAAATTTGATATCTCCGGCGTACACACGCGTACAAATAACTACGACAGTATATATGAGCAAAGACCAGTTAACAAAAGCAAAACGGCAACACAGAAAAGAAGAGAAAGAAAGACGCATATTTGCACATATCCTTGCGATATCCTATATCCTCCCTTTACCATATTCTTGCAAAGCCAACATAAATAACCAATGACAATATATTCATGCCCCGACAAGATATGTATCGTTTAGTCTCTCCTTGCACGCCTCACCCACCCTCACCAACGCACTACAGACTGGCCACAGCTCCAAATGACCGGTTACCCCTCCCCTTCCCCGCGCGACATCCCCCCGCCCCCCGTTCGATCCCAGCGGCTCTGGGTCGGATTAATTTAACGAGCGAGCGCCGCGCCGGAAACCGAGGCTCCACGGGGCGGAACAGCGCCGCAGGGCATCGGCAGGATTGGGGGGGGGGGGGGGGAGGCTGGGGAGGTCGAGAGACAAGAGATGCGCTTAGCCGGAGCTGGAACAGAGGGCCAGATTTCAAGCATGTCGTACGCAGAAAAGGCATTTGTGGTCTGCGATCAGGCCGCAGGCAAGTGCAGCCAATTTCCGTCCCGATATTGCAGAGGTTGAAAGCCGGTTCCTTTTTTGCTGCCAACAATTATTTCGCTATTGATGTAAAACAGGCGCGAGTTCAGGCCTGCAGGAGAACCGTCTCGATTTTCCACATTCGCCACGCATTGCCAGCAGCGGCTTTACTACACTCGCTGCGAACCGTGACCGTCGTTAGCACGCGCACGCCTCCGAATATGTGGGCGAAGTGGCTGGTGAATACCACGAAACGTGCCGGGTCATTAGCGTCGGGCCCTCTGCAACCAGCCGCGGTAACGTCGGGCCTTCCAAAGCCAGCTGTGGTAACGATATCCATCAACGGAGAAGCGGTGCCAGCGATTGCCACTTCGCGTGGTGGGAGGGCTTTATGGGAGCGTTTATGCCAGCGAGCATTTTATGACTCAAGTTTTACCTTTCAAGTCACGTCATTCACTCAGTGATACATTACAAGGCTGACGATAAGGGCGATTGCGTTTACATTTACGATTACAAAGCGATTACAATGCGTCCACATCACAATGAATCCCCCCCCCCCCCCCCCAGTGTCCATCAGTGGTTCCTCCCCTGTACTCAAGATTGATGCAACGCAGTGATTTGTTTCACTTTAGCCAGCGCCTTCTAATGACGGATAGTCGCAGCACGGAGACCTCGCCAGAGGTCTGGCACGACTGGACCAGACGCCTCCATGTCTGGCGCAGACGTGATATTATTGCCATCCCCGAACAAAAACCGACAATGCTGCTAGTGCAGTGCAGCAGAGAGTTGTTCGCAGATACCGCACATGCACTGTCACCGCGCCAGTGCACCGACCACAGCAGGGCTCCGATGGCGCTTGACGAAATCTGAACGTTGCAACCATACGGGCGATCGTGTGCACGACAAACATGTCACAAACACGACAAACAATTCACAAACATGACACACGATCTTTGCAACGACGTTTAGGATGCTGTTGGAATGCATGGAGACACATCCAACCTGCCCAATGTGCGCATTTGCAGCCAGCATCTCTAAACACGTATCAACCTAAACGATATTGATATTGACTCTCATGGTGGTGTTAACTCTCACAAGGCACTCACATTGCACGGCGTCTTTGACAGGAAACTCTCACAAGGCACTCACGTTGCGCGGCGTCTTTGACAGGGATTCTTACAAGGCACCCACATTGCGCGGTGCCGTCGACAATGACTCTCACAAGGGCCTCACCTTGCGCGGTGACATTAACTGTGATGACCGAGGTCGGCAGGGAGGTACCGTGGTCGTTCACCGACACCACTGTGAAGCCGTACACCTGGCCTTGGCTCAGGCCGCCCACCACGGCGAACTCCTTGGTCACGTTCAGCACCTGCCGGGCGCCATAATGACGTCACAAGATCACAGTTGTCCAGGTCAGCGCGACCTGCGGCGATGGGTTGAGCTGGGCGTGGTGGTGACGTCACAAGATCACAGTTGTCCAGGTCAGCGCGTCCTGCGGCTATGGGTTGAGCTGGGCGTGGTGGTGACGTCACAAGATCACAGTTGCCCAGGCCGGCGCGTTCTGCACCGATAGGCTGAGCGTTTCGCGCGCTTGCCCCGGAGCTGGACGTGGATGCGGCGCTGGGAAGCCGTAACGGGCGATCGAGCATGATCAGGAGGAACCGACCGCTTGACGATGGGTAGATTTAAAGAAAATAAGCCTGACATGCTCAGGAGAAACCGACTGCTTGACGATGAGCAGGTTAAAAGAAGACAAAAATCCTCGAAAATGGAAAGCGGCTCCACTACCTTCGAGAGTAAACCTAAAAAGGAACTTTGAGCACAAGGAGTCCACCCCACCCCGCAGTACATTTATTCACAGCGCCTAATCCAGCTCCAGCCATGAATATTACAAGCATCGCCGCACGCAATATACCCTACGGCTCCCCACTTCTGAAGTCGGCTGGCTGCTCATCACGGTCTGTGTGTAACGCTTCGGCATGATTGTGCTAATGGTCGCAGCGATAATTAAACCGCTGCATCACCCTAACGAGCGGCTGCCGCAGCTCCGCCTCTTCCACAGTGGTTCTTAGTAACGCTCCTCTGTCTGGTGTTACGCTGTCTAGCTCTTAGATAGCGTAACACCAGTGACATCGGTTAGATAGTGTAACCGGTAACACATGGTTTCAACTAACCTATGTGTCTCCGTCACCTCCAACTTGAATTGCAGACTCTGCTCCAAATATCCCGGACTTTAGTCGGTCCATTACCATTTCTGGTCATCCACTGCATCACCGCCGCTCTTTCACCTCCTGGCTTCCCTCTTGTCCATGCTTTCGATACTGTCACGTTTCAATTGCCGTATGTTTCTATTTAGCTTTGAACCGCTCTCACTTCAAAATCCAAACGTCACCCTAACCTTATGACGCTGCAGCGAAATATAGATTTGACATTAACACTAAAACATACGTAAATCTGGTATTTACGTCAAGTTGTTTGCTGACATTCAGCAAAAGCACCCTTTGTCGCTCTCTCCTAACGTCCCCGCCTCTATTCTACCCTGTCAATTCTGCCGTCCTCCTGTCTCTGCATCTCTCTTGATTCCCTTTACCACGGTCTCCTTCTCGCTACAGGTCTACCTTTCGTCTCCACTATCCCATTCTTTCTCCCTCTTCTCTTCACCCCATGTTTGGTTCGCCCTCCGCCCTTACTCTCGTCACCATCGTCATCTATGACTGCGCAACCATGGTTTTCTTAAGGTGGGGCAGGGGGGGGGGGTGCTGAACGCGATGAAAATGCATACCACACCGACTTTCAACTTTCGTTGAGCAGCCATCCGCGGTGAATAATTATAACTGCAGAGCTGAGAAGCGACGGGGGGGGGGGGGGCGGAGCGCTCCTCTACCCCCCCCCCCCCTTGGCCGTGCCGTTGGTTCACTAACTCGCCGCCCACGCAGCACGGAGGCTGCTGACCGAGCAGCGGCCGGCAAAAACACATCTTAACTGCGTCAGCCCACCTACCCGGTCACCGGTTCGTGAGCGAAAAACAGGACGCTGAAGATGACAGGAAATGACTCAAGATCAGCAGTTCGACGTGCGGCCCTCCGCGAGAGACAGAGGGGAGGGGAGGGGAGAGAGAGAGAGACAGGGGGAGGGGGAGGGAGGGCGAGCCTCTTGACAACCCGTAAGCCACACAAGTGATCAAAACGAGCCATCGAACCATCAGCAGCGGCGACACAACAGACCGCTGCTACAACGCAGTACTCGCCTCTCACAGCCACTCCACACGAGCTGCAACACAGGAGGCCGCGCCTGCGCTGCAGACTAAGCCCACACCGTCTCATTACCGGGACCATTACGCATCCTCGCACCGGCCGTCACCTGCCGCCTCATTCTATCACCGTTACCTGATCCCACCCACGCCCATTGCAACAGCTTCCGATTGAGTCTGCTTCCGCGTAGTCGTTACCCACGCGCTCGTTCCCAGCGCGTGGGTTCTCGGCAGGGCTCGCTAGCGGAACAGCTCTGCCTGACTCGGGTCGGGCCCACAGTGTCCTCACCTGATCCAGCTCCTCCATCCCCAGCGTGCTGCGTCTGATGGTGCCCACCGGACCGTACCGCACCTGACAACGGGCGAGACATTGGGTACCGCACCTGACAACCAGTGACACACGGAGTCGCACACCCGACAATGGGCGACACATGGGGTACCGCACCTGACAACGAGCGATACATGGGCCGTACCGCATCTGACAACGGGGGACACAAGGGTATCACACTTGGTAAGGAGCGACACATGGGACACCGTACCTGACAACCAGTGACACAAGGAGTTGCACACCTGACAACCAGCGACACATGACAAGCAGCGTATGAAGTCGCACACCTGACAACGAGCGACACACGACAACCGACACTTGGAGTCGCACACTTCGCAACGAGCGACACACAACAAGCGTCATATGGGGTCGCACACCTGACAAAAAGCGACACACAATGAGTGACACACGGAGTCGCATACCTGACAACGAGCGACACACGGCAAGTGACATATGGGGTCGCACACCTTCGCAACGAGTGACACATGGACTCACGAACATTACAACGAGCGGCACACGTCCAGCCAATGACAGTGGATAACACGCAGAGGTCATGAAGCGGTTGGTAGGTCATCGATTCGCGGAAGGTATTGTAACGTCTCGAAAGGTGAGTCGGGTCGGAGTATCAATGACACAGCACTGACACAGCTTTGCATTCTGCATTGATCTAAAACGTCGTTTGCTTTTTAGTGCGGGACGTAAGAGCGTCAAATCAACTGAGAAATAGACTTTTGTGGCGTAAGTTGTGACATGATCACACAAGAGCGGCGCATCGCGGATTGCGTTGATCTCTCTTCCGATACTCACCAGCTTCCTTTAAATCTCACAATGTACGCGCCAAGTGCCTCCAGAAAGGTGCCTTTTGATGCATGCCAATACCAGGACCATCCACCTTGTCTCCCCCCCCCCCCCACACACAAAAACAGCATAAAAACCGAAACCCGCGAAAAGTTTCCCGCGGCGGGAATCGAACGTACCTGAAAGCCGGTGACATTCTGCGCCTCCTCCTCCCAGATGAGCACCACGCTGCTGTTGGTCACGCCGCTGGCGTGCAGCGCCGTCACCGGCGGCGGCAGCAGGCCGGTGCCCTCCTCGAAGCACTGCCACAGGTTGCCGACGAACGGCAGGCAGTCGGCCTCGAGAGAGCTCTGGCCGCGGCAGGCGGGCAGGCAGGCGGAGGGGACGCCTCGCCGGCGGCAGCAGGGCGTGTGGTCCCGGCCGCCGGCCGAGCAGCGCATCAGCTGCCGGCGCCAGGTCACGGGTCAGGGGCGGCCGCTGAGGTCACGGGGTCGGGCGGGGCGGCCGCTGAGAACACAGGGTCAGGCGGGAGGCAGCTAGGGTCACGAGGGTCAACGAGGGCAACTCAGGTCGCGGGTGTCAAATAAGGCTGCGACTGAGGTCATGGGGTCAGGCGGCGCATTACATGTGGTTGCAGCGGTGAGGTGGGGTGATGCCGAGGTCACAGGGGTGCGACAGTGTAACAGCTGAGGTTACGGAGACCACACGGCGTCAAGTGGTATCCTGGGGGTCAGACAGAGTGTTGGCTGCTGTGAGAGAGGTCAGGGATCTGACCAGGCATCAGCAGGTCACAGTGGTCACGCAGTCAAATATGTAAGGTCACGGGAACCATGCGTTATAAGCATTTTCTTTCTCGGTCAAAGACAAGCTACGTGAGGGTCAAAGAAGACACGGAGCCAAACTGCCAGGTAAAACTGTTGACACTGTTAAATAAAGGTCAAGGGGTCACACGGACCAAATAGCTAAACAGCCGGACGCACAGACAGCAGATGGAAAGATCGCACGGATAATCTACAGTCTACACAGTTTCTCAACCACCTGAGCTGACCCAGTGCTAGCTGTCACACACAGGTCACGGACGGAAGATCGGCCGGGCTTAAATGTGATCACACAGCGCACGCCAAAATGAGACAGGTCCAAGCCGTCCCATAATACTACCCACGGCTGCCAGCTCCATGGTAACACAACACGGCAATCTCCTTCCACGGCCCAAAAAGCGTTACCAGTGCCGATGCTATCAGCAGCACCCATCAGCCCTTTTCGACATATTTTAAACACCACGGGCCCAAAGTGCACAGCGTTTCAAGAGCAATCCATGTCCGGCCCGGCCAGAGTAATGCCGATATGTAGTCGTTTAACATTGCGTTAGACACACAGCAAACAGTTTTTTCCTTCTAAAAAATCTCCTCTAGAGCGCAAATGAAAACGGATCAAGCTATCATGTTCTCATATTCTAAATATTTGTTTGTTATATTTTTTCATAACCTAAGTTCCTCGGACGCGTAGCTCCAGACGGCGAACGCGCCGCGCCACCTTGCGGCGCCTCCAACCGAAAAAACAGCCACCACACACGTACCTTGTGGTACTCCGGCGCGCAGATGTGAGCCAGCCCCCGCATGGTGGACATGCGGGCGTCGTAGTGGCACAGGGGCATGCAGGCCGGACTCATCTCCGCCCTCAGACAACACGAGCTAAGGCTGTAGGTGGACTGCTCCGCCTCCTCCTCGCGCTCCACTTCCGCCAGCGTCTGTTGAAACGATGCGGTCACAGAGAAGGCACAGCGGCAAGCAGATGACAGGGTGATGGTGAGGGTTGGGGTGGGCGCAGGGGCGCCACAGGGACACGGAGATGACGCAGGGGGTACGCAGGGACGGCACAGGTACATGGAAATGACGTCGCCGGGAGGGAGGGGGGGGGGGGGCACAGGGGTGGCACGGGACACCGAGATGACACGGGCGGGAGTGCGCAGGGGCAGGGAAATGCGGAGATGACGATGGGGGCAGGGCGACACAGGGCCGCGGAAATGAAACAGAGGGAGGGGGGGGGGGGGAGCGCGCAGGGGGCGGCACAGAGACACGGACGGTTTGATGCGATTATATAACGAACGTCATCCATGTCGGTGACCTTCCCAAAATGTCACAGAAGGTCAGAGTCGCGACAAGTCACTTTGTGAAGCCGACGTCGCATTACGCCTACTTAAGTTCTTTGCATCTTAAATCAAAATAATTGATAAAATAAACGTATCAATCGTGACTTGAATGACATTGGAGACCACCTTCACGTCAGGTCAATTCTTATCGATCGTACTCAAGTTGTATAAGCAAAACCTTACAGCGCATCATCACCATCGTGCAATGGAATCTTAAGTGCAAGGTTCTCCGCGGTCAAAGTCATGACAGATCAAGAAATGACATGAAGAATATCACATAACCCTTCGGAAACAATGGAAGCACACCCAACCTTGAGCCAACATTAATATGAATGCGTTTGGACAGCTTCCTGACAGGTTAACAGCAGGAGACTGCTCAAACAATGCTTATGATGAAGATAGTGGAATTGGCTACCGGCACGCTTTTGGAAATCCGCTCCGAGACGGGATGCAAAACGATTGAAAGCGTCTCCGAAGCGCAGAGGAACTGTGGGAAAACGCCCTCAGTCCCGAGGGATTCATTAAACGCATCATTCACCACAGACATCAGCATAAATGCCACACAAGTCCCATTACCACTCCAAATCTAGCATTACTGGGTCGCGATACGATAAACGTAATGATCCCGCGCTCTCCGTGAGCGACATTGACGGATCATCTTGATCGCATGACGTCGTTATGCGCCACCACGAGACCGCAGGCAAAGGGACATGGACAAAGGAACCTGGACAAAGGGACATGGACAAAGGGACATGAGCAAAATAGCGAAGACAAACGGACATGGACAGAGGGATGTGGACAAAGGGACATGGACACAGTGACATGGACGAGGGGACATGGACGGAGGGACGTGGACAAAGGGACATGAACACAGTGACATGAACGAAGGGACATGGATGGAGGGACGTGGACAAAGGGACGTGAACAAAGCGACAAGGACAGAGGGGCATGAGCAAAGGGACATGGACAAAGGTACATGGGCAAGGGGACATGGATAAAGGGACATGAGACCACACATACAAGAGTGCCGCCGTGTTTTCAGGCGAAGATGGGGATCAGCACATCAAACAGGCATTTTGCGTCGTTCCCTAAAAAAAAGAACACTGCCAGATAGTTGCTTTTGCCAACTTGTTTTCCCGCAATATATTTAGTCTTATCAGCAGGAACGGAAGAGCGCGCTGTCGTAATTGCCCTCGGCCCTGCGTTAGCGCTTCACATTAGCCGAGTCAGATGTAACCCAATACGCCGGAAGAAAATCGATGCCCGCCTTTGCAAGCCACGGGAAAAACGCAGCTGGTACAAACAACGCCATTTGTCTTCATAGCGATGACACAAAGTGTCACATGTGTACGGAAATGCTTCGCAGAATGCGGTGCGGCGTTCAGCAAGCTAACCTGATCTCCCAGGTATCTGCGCCAGCTGCCAGTGAGGCGACAGCGAGACTACCAAGCTGATGAAATGCTCCTCTGGTGCGGTATATGCATGCGTTAAACTATCAAACATATCTGAGAGCGAGTAGATCACAACCATATAAACAGCCACTTATTCATCTTCCACAATAAATGGTCGGATCTACAGCCGTTGGCGGCTGACAAAATCCACAGATTTTCTTGGATCAGTGTGGAAATCGCTTAGTCGGTTGATGTGAGAGGTTGATATCCAGCGAGAGAGCGATAAAATGCTGGACATAAATACCACTACTAACAAGCATGATTTGTGATCTGAATCGAGCGGTTGCGTTATGTTCGTGTACTAAGGATAGCCCACAGCAGGAATGTATACGTTTTTCTGAGCTGATTCACACTATTATATCAAAAGGCTATTAGCTTTTCCTCTAGAAACACCATCAACACCTTCATTATATTTCGAGTGCTGTTCGCCGGCGAGGAACTCACCTGGAAGATAACACGAGAGCTCTGCACGCCGGGACCGCGAGGGTTGACTGCCTCCACGAAGAACTCGTACTCTGTGGCGGGTTGCAGGTCCTCCAGTAGGTACGGAGCGTGAACGTCCGTGTGGGTGATGTAGGTGGCGCCGCGCAGCGGCCGAACCCGCAACGTATAACTGCAGGACGACACGTAGATGGCGTTGGGAGCGAGATGACATTGCATCGCCGGAACTGGGAGCGTTACTTTGAATGATGTTGGGAATGCACGAAATACGCGAGCGTAATATATTCAGCTTGTATATTCACGGCAGCTGTGTGAAAGTCCAGCAGCAACCGAGATACCACTCCGACCGTCAAGTACACATCCACCCAATTTGACCAAACCCATATTCTCGCATCTCTACCTTCTCGGCGCCTTTCCCCCAGAGAATACAAAAAACGACACCATCACTGAGGTTGTCAAAGTCCTCGCCCACCACGGCCGTCTTCAGCTGGGGGAATCATGGAAGTCCCCTAAAGCGGATTAAAAAGAAGGAAGGGGCAATGGAACCACGGCGTTCCCAACATGGCCAGATTCGGGCAATATTGACACATTTCATGACATTAAAGGAAGTCCTGTAAACGTTTGCTTATAGTAGTTTAGCTTAGGTGAATCCTTGCGGCAAAAACATACAAAACGGGATGTGTTCTTTACAATGAGTACAATTTTCGGATTTTGGCCCCCAAGCCGGCGTTGCCCTCCCCCCGAAACGTGCCGTTGTCAACACGTCCCTGGCGGCCCCGCAAAATTCCCAGGCCGCCTCACCTCTGCACTTCTGGATGCAGCTACTAAGTCTGGCTTGCCCCTCCCCAATGCATCATTCTGAGTCGGCCATTGGCGACCTGACACGATCGCCCAGGCCGCCTTACCTCTGCACAGTGTCGGCCAGCTGCTCGGGCGGGTTCCAGCGTACCACGGCGAAACCACTGTCCATGAGCGCCACACGAGGCTCGCGCGGCGCCGACGGCACCACGCCGTACCCCTGCATCAGGCACGAGGCGTAGCTGCCCATGAAGCCCAGACACCTGCGGCGGTGTAGAAGAAGACGCCGTCGCAACGGTTGGAGCAGGGCAAGACTGGCGAAGCGGGCTCGTTTTCCTCTCGTACAGCTTACACTTGTATAGCACCCGCGGTTTTGCTACATTTGTTTGGGCCAACGACGTATTGGTGGGAGGGCAGTTTATTTTTCCCGCCCTTTTCCCAGATCATCCTGTTTGTGTCTGCGGCTCTGGTGGCATTGGCTTGGCAGCGGGTGGATATGTTAAAAGGCGCATACCGGCTCGCCTCCGTGCGCAGAGCTGACAGCGATTACAAGCTCACTTGGACATGTTGGGGACCAGTGCGAGGGATCATAGCTGAACCGGATCGTAGCTGAACCGAAACGGCGGGACGTACTACGCCCAGGTTCTCAATGGTCAGCGCGCATTTTTATGTAACTGAGTTCCACAGATACCACCGCTCGGTCTATTGGCCGTACATTACTTGCACGACCATGACAGGAAATACACGTATTCCTGTACTGACGAGAAGCACCTGTGATCCGTGGGCATACATGAAGGAGGCAGAATATCACGCTGAGCTTACCGGAAAGTACCTGTGATCGCTGGTACCAACCGAAAATAACAGCCGCATTCACCAGAGGTAAGCACCCTCGGTATGCCAACAAGGACAAGAAGTGCACGTCAACGTCTCCACGGACCGGAAGTGGAAGGCCAGCTTTACCCACAATCCCTCACCATAGGCCAGAAGCAACCGCCCTCGCTAACCGGAAGTACAACCGGAAGTGTAACAATGGATGCTACACTTACCGGAAATGCGACCAAAAGTAGGATACTCTGATACACTGATACACTTGAACAACACTGGAGTACCGTACCGCCCGTAGGTACGACCGGAAGTATGAGCCACTGACCGGAAGTATCTGAAGTCGATCTTGGTGACGTTTCCGGCGCACAGCTCGACGCAGATCTGCGGCAGACCGCGAGCCCTGCAGCAGGCGCTGTGGTCGTGCCCGTCGGCCATGCAGGCGAACGTCTTGTCGGCCCAGGGCGCACAGATGATGACGTCAGTGACCACTGTGTCGCTCGCCACGCGCGGGTCGCACAGCTGGCGCAGGCACCTGGAGGCGTGCGGTACGCAGGTGTCAGTGACGTCATATAGGCGGAGGTGAGATGGCAACAGCCGGGATCAGCGCGTGAAAGGAACGTGAGTGACGCCATAAAAACTCGATTTGTGATGTGATCAGGGATGAAGGTTCACAAAATAAGTTAAGGGGCTCAGCAGGAGAGAAATGACCAAGTATGCCCTTAAAATATCAAACAGCAATCTCCGCATTTGACCCGCTTTCGTCTCAAAGTTAGAGGACACGGCTGCCTCGTTCCCTATCTCAACGTAAAACTACGCTTCTGGGTGTAAGTGACGACAGGCTGGGACGACGATGTTAACTATGTTGGCCTGGGGCGTCTGAGGTGATGGCTTATGACGTCAGCGAGGGTGACGGCACCACAGTGATCTTAGCCGTATCATCATGTTTTAACCATACCCAGTTCATGCAAAAGCTTGTGCTGAGACGTGGATTGCGAGTGTCGATGGCGCCTATTGGTCATCGTTTGGTCCCGACTTTGCACATAGTGCATGCATACCAAACACATGTTATATCGCAGGATCTCCGTCCGCCAGGAAAGATGTGGGCAACATGTAAATTTATACCAGGACAGCCGACCCAAAAACAAGGCTGTTCGTCAACGGCAACTAGGGAAAGGCGTTGTCGCTGTCCGAAAGGCTACATCCACACCGATAACACAAGAGTTATGGGGAAAAGTGCGATCGTCTACGACATCGCCCATGGCCTCGATCCGCCGACCAGCCCCGCCGAACTTCTCTCAAGACGACGCAGACTGGGCCAGAGCTGCTGTCGACGCCACTCGCGGGGGTCGACAGCTGTCCGCAGCGACGCGCGATCCAGAACGAGAAACGCGTCCGGCAAATTCCCAGACGCCGTAGATTGCGCTCTGTGAGACATCCGCGTCTCAAACGCGCACTTTCCGTCCGGGAATGACCGCACCGGGCGGCGAAGCTTTCAAGCCGGCGAGCGCTTGTAGCGGCGTGATGGGCCGTGGATCAAAGAGCGCCGCCGCGGGACCAGGTGGGGGGGGGGGGGGGGAGTAGGGTGGGGGGGGGGGGGGAGTAGGGTGGGGGGGGGGGTCGTGTTTCTCGTCACCGGAGGACCGCCGGCCGGGCGCTCCGACACTCTGAAACCCTCGGCGGCTATGCACGCGGACGTTAAGAAAGTCGCTCGCATTACAGCAGCCCGACACTCTGGCACTCTGAAATATTAAAACAGTGACTTCACAGCGCGTGGACACTGGCATTCACGCAACTCTGACACGCTTTCACTTTGCTCTTTCACTCCCACCCCCGCACTCCTTACACCCAGACACTCCGTCTATAGGACACTCCAACACTTGGTAACGGTGGCTACTGTTTTGCATTATATCGATTTGTATCGACTTGAATCCTGGACTTCCTACCCAGAAGTGCCATCACACCAACAGGCAACACCCCGAGCCCGGACACCGCTCGCGAAACCACGACAGTGACGGCCAACCAACCAGCCTGTCGGTAACAACCAGCTGGGAGGAGAAGTCGGCTGGTGCTAACCTCTTCCCGCCTGGTTTCGTGGCACTTTTTATAGGGTGGGAATGAGGTGAGGAAATTTGCAAAACATTTCACTCTCCCCATGTTTCACATTACATGCTTAAAAAACACCTACACGTATCTGTAAAATGTAAAGTGTCTGTAAAATTATGCCCATAAATTTTCATGACGACTTGAATATGATGCATGGAAAGGTATAGGCATATGACATTTGACTCATGGGCTTTATGTTTTGAAGCGCTTAAATATATCCTTTAAAAATTTTATCTCACATTTTATAACGATTTTGAGCTCTTAAAACTGTGGCAGTAGTCTGTCGTCCAACAAATGCGCGGTGAGCCCAACAGACAATCTATGCTTAATCATGTTTGTTTAGTGTCAAGAACGTCAACAAGCATTCGCCCCGTTTAGGTCTCGATATGAACAAATCGTTGTTGCATGATACTGCCATCTGTAGGCTCTATTCTGCACTATCTCAGTAATGTCGCTCGCTGCCGACATATGCAGCCTTTCCACAGCACTGCCACCTACTGGCTCCATCCACATCACCCCGCGCTGTCAGTTGTGAGCTCATTTCCCCCCCCCCCCCCCCCACTCTCCCAGTGATGTCACCTACGTCATCAACTCCCTTCTTCCCCACCCGCGCCGTGCTGCCACCTGCCGGCTCTACTCTCCCCAGTGCTGCCACCTATCGGCGACCTACCGCGGCTCGGTGACGCCGGCGTCCTGGCAGCACTGCCGGACGTCGGGCAGGCCGGGCGGCGGCTGGCGCACCGCGTTGCTCGTCTCCGAGCGCCAGGTGACGGCGCGCACGCGCTGCGAGGTCAGACTGCTGCCGTATGCGTTGTGGGCGCTCACGGAGACCTCGTACATGGTCAGCGGCTGCAGGGCGTCCACCATGAGGAACATGCGCGACGCCGTCACCTGGCAACGTAGGCACGGTCGTCGTCAGCGAGGCCGAGCGTCGTCATTATTGTGATCATCGCTCGCGCCGTGATGGCCATGCTCGCTGCGTTATTGAGTTCGTTAGGACCGTGCACGTCATGGGCGATAATGATGAGAGCTCGCCGTGGGACCTGGTGGATGATGTGCTATTCTCGTTGCGAAATTATCCATCATTGCTGTTGTCAGCGACTGCTAAAAAGTACAGCTGGTTGTCGTCAGCATCAGCACCATGGAAAGCAATGTAGATAGTTATCATCGGCGCTCGACAACACTGGCGTGCGGAGTGAGCGGCGCAACACAACACAGTCGGGATTATCGACGATAATGAGTCCGAATGACCGATCTTACTCACGAGGAACCATCAAATTCACCACATAAACTGACATCAGTGACGTCACATCTCAGCATAATTCTGGCGCGACGGCCAAGCCACAGCTGCCTTCTCCGCCACCACCCACACGCGCCCCAGCCGTCACACCAAAACTCACATTAAACAGCTGCACCTGCGCTCCCGGCTGAGGCCCCTCCTCCAGCGCAGTGTCGTTGTCATCTAGCCCCAGCTGCGCGCCATCAAATCGTCTCAGTCGTGTCACGTTCACGGTGAAGAGGTCGGGCGCTGGGGCGCTGCTGTCGCCGGCCGTCCAGCTGACCTGGAGCTCGCCCAGCGAGCGCACTACCACCTGCAGTGCCGA